TAAGAGGTAAATAATGTGATTATATGTGTATTGTTTTAACAACTACTCTAGAAGGGATAAAAAGGGAAAGCTAGAGAAAAAGAAGAAACTTACAAAAAGAAAAATCATTAGGATGCCACTTGCAAATCCAACAAGTGATAATGAGGCACTAAACTGTAACAGTGGGGAGTCAGGTGTGAAAGATTAAATGACATGCCCAAAGACACAAGTCATAGGAACTGCCAAGAGCCAAAACCTGGGTCTCTAGGTTGCACTGACCTGGAAATGGTATATAGAATGGAAATGGTATATAGAATGGATTTGCAGAAAAACCTTTATCATGAAATTTCTAAGACTTTATAACTACTTTTGTCTATAATGCTTAAAGTCTAATTTTATATTATTAAACAAACTGATCCAAAATGAATAAAATAATGTTAGCACAGCATCCAGGAAGGTAACTAAGCAATTTAATATAGATGTATGAAAGTCTGAGACTTAGCTTTCTAATCCAGAAAAATATATATGTTATCATAGAAAAAGTGCAGGGATTTGAAATATACTCTTGTAAAAGTAATGAGTTACTCTAAGACACAAATTTATAGGATATACTCCTCACAAGCGAGCTTCCAACCTTTTTTAAATGATGTTCCACCAGAGAAGTCATTTAAGAAGCCAGATTCACATTATATTAATGTGACAAGTATAACAAGATAAATACATCATATGATTCTCAAATGACATAATTAATGTGGTTTATGTGACATATTCCTATTAATGATCTTTTATTATGTGTGAACAGTAAAATAACATTAGATAAGCAATGAAAAAATCCAATCAGCAGTAGCTTTCATAAAGGTTTTGACTGCAGTCTTATTTACACAGTGTTAACTGATACTAATCCTTGGATTTTAAAGAGCAGAAATAACCTCCAAATTGTAAACAAACATGTTCCTATGAGATGAGCATTTTGATTACTACCATTTCTGCAAATGCAAAGATAAAATATAATGTGTTGCATGATAGCCTGTGAACATGAAAACAGGGTAAGGTATATTCATCATTTTAAAATAAAAGGATCCTGACTCCTGGATGAAGAACATCCTCAAGCGCCTGGTAGTGTGTCTGACTATGGCGTTCATGTGGATTTTGTGGAAAGTGTAGCCACACTTTCCTAGATAATTAGGAGGGTCAAAATATTCTGGTTTTCCTTAATTAGTCACTAAAATCTAATATCTAAATCAACTGAAATACTTTGAACCTTTTTACAGTTAAATTTAATACCACCTCCTAGAATAAGAAAGTCTAAGAATAAAAGTTTACAAAATAATAACCTCTTATTTACTTTTACATTAAATAAATACTTACTGAGAAACTGATTATACTTGGCACCAAATAAATAAGTAAAAGGTGATACACAGTTCCTGAACTTAAGGAGCTTGAAGTATAATTGAGAGGCTGGATAGACATCGAAATGAAGATACATAAAGAGAGATTTTTATTTATTTTTTAGCAAGTTTTTTTTTAAAGATTTATTTATTTATTCAAGCACTGGGGTACAGGCCAGAGGCGAGGGAGGGTGAGAGAATTCACCAGAGACAGAGCAGGGAGCAGAACAGGCAAAAGGACCTAAGTACACTGCTGAGGGGAGCAGTGGGTGAGACAGAAGAGGTCTGCCTCGCCATGTGGGAATCTTCCTGGCCGGCTGGGAATCGAACCTACACTGCAGAGGCTGCGGACAGCTTCACAGCGCTGCGTTCACCCCATTGAGCCACCAGGAAGATCCAAGAGAAATTTTTAAAGGTTATTATCAATAAAAGCAAAAATCTAAAGGACATAGATTCTATATGCTCCAAGAATTTAGAGGTAAATTAAATTACTTGTTTCTTCAAGAAGGGACAGGCAAAAGAGCATTTTGGTGCTGTTAACCAAAAGTGAGGGAGAAAAGCTATGGCTAATCTTTGTGTATTGGAATCATCTTAGCTCTGAGGTTTTATCTTTCTTGGATAAAGAGCCCTGGTCATCAAAATTCCCAAGCACAATGGGAAAGAACACACATTTTGAAGGAAATAAAATCTGAACCTATCCTAATTCTGACACTGCTGTGCTGTGGAACTCTGAGTAAGTCATTTCACCTCTCTAAACTTCAGTTTCCTTAATTGTAAAATGCAAATTGTAACACCCACCCCCACATTGGATAAGAATTAAATTATGCATATGGAGCAAGAAGAGATGCCTAGCATAGAGCAGGTGCTGTAAAAACAGTAGCTGTTCTTTGCATGATATTAAGTGCCATCCTGACCATCTTACAACTGCACACTATCTTGTTTTTTTTTAGGGTAATCACAGGGCTCTAGGTGGGAGGCCCATTGTGCACTGGAAGACTGAGTCCTAAATTCTTCACTAGTCCTGAGGGCATGTTTTGGTTTCTTTGTGAAAAGGTGGCAGACCCTAATTGAACATCCCAGAGCCCACATTTTGAATTTTTATATTTCGCTTAACCCAGCAAGTAAGCAGAAAAAATAGGAATAAATACCTCCCTTCAACTATGTACCCCAGCTGCATGCTCAGTTAGAAACAAAGAAACCTAGAATCCATGGTGATTTTCTCCTAGTGAGGCCAGAATTTATAAAAGCCAGCACTGGTAGTGACTGACAGGGCACTGTGACAGCAAGTTACCAACCAATCTTAGTCATAAAGTCCAGCTATAGAAAAATGCTGCTTAGGGCAGCATTCTGTGGATGATCTCCCTGGCTTTGTTAAGATCACATCAATGTAGTATCATTTTTCCTCTGTAGTATAAATAATTTTTATGAAACAGTTTGGCAAAACACATGGCATGTAACTATACCACTACAAATGTGTTAGCAGACCTAGTCAGAAACCATGGCAATGATCAGATTTTGTGCATATTCTTGCAACAGTAAGAACATAAACCTAATCTTTTTAAAGACTAACTGGTGTCCTACCAAAGCTGACTATTGACTCTGTTCAACAGAAGCTTCCATTTGCAAGGTAAAAGAAGCAAGACTTGTTCTCAAGCTACCACCAAATAATCACAGTATTTGATGGCTTAGCTTATTTTTTAATCTTTTATGAACTCTGCAGAATTATATCTGGATCCTCATAACATGATGATTTGGGATTAAAGAATACAGTGAATACACACAACCTTCTGGTATAGCAATTTAAGCATTACAGAGTGAGTAAATAGTGTAGAGTGAATCTTAACACTTGAAACAGAATCTTCCAGAATCCAGAAATCCACCTGACTGCCAAGAATAATACTTCCGTGGTTCAAGCAATACCCGTACCCAGAGGGGTTTCTACAGACATAACCACATGAGTTACTGTATATTGGGTAAAATAGAAAAAACAGACATTTGTGAATGTACAGTTTGCAGACATCTTAAAAGTACGCATAAATATGCAATTTATAAATATAGAAGAAAGGGGGCTTAGAAATATGCAGCATCTGTTTAAAATTGCTTAATTATATGGTTTCTTCTATGGGTTTTCCTCACCCTAGCTCTGATTTTTATTGGGGGTTGGCAGTGCTGGGGGGTGGATTGAGAGATTGATCTCTTAACCAAAATAAATGAAACCATTCTCATTAAAAGAAGCGCTATGATAAGGACTTAATATATGAGAGATTCTGACTTCAGGATGAGGTAGAAATGACTTAAGTGTCAGAGATCAAAATCGTTAAAATTGGATATCAAAGAAAACCTTTCAATTCACCAGGCTATACTGAAGCAGGGTTCGTTGGATTATCTAGCAATAAAACAAATGCACAATATCTTCTCATGCATTTCACACATGATTTCTATTTCAGTTCTGATGTAAAACATGGTATCATAACACATCATGCCACAAAGAAAGAGTCAGTTTAGCTAATTCAAGTAAAACACCAGGCAGCTGCTAACAGAGATAGGTCATGGCTGGGGAGGGGCACAGCACATTCAGTTTGCTATGTTTTCCTTCAGAAGAATGTCAATAAAAACCAAGGCCAAATGAGGTATTTAAAGAGGAAGTGGGGAGAAGTCCTGCTTGCAGTGAACCACTGGGTTCACCTAACAGCGCCAGACAAGTTAGCAAAAGGGAGCTCTAGCCAAATGTAAGTCACCAACAACTTGAAGAAAACTGTCTTTTTCGCTGAATGTCCTGGGGCAGGGACCAGTCCCACATTTAGAAACATTTCTGGGACCAATAGCAATTTATTTTGATAGAACCACCGGGTTGTTTTTTTTTTTTTTTCTTCCTTGAGTTCTCAACAAAGGAGCCATATTAGGAAATAATCTCGCAAAAAGCAAAGTGCCCCCTCCCCCACTCCCCCACGATCGATGTACACACACCCGTGCACGCTGACACGCACAAACACACACCCGTGCACAATAGCCAGCGCTCACACTCGCGTGGACCCTCGTGGCTGCCCGGGAGCCCCACGGGCTGAAAGGCTGGGCCATGGCCCCAGGCACTCCAGCAGGAGGCCCCTCTGCCTGGCTGCCCGGGAACAAGCTGCTGGGCCGTTGTGCTGGGGATGCTCGCCCCCCAGCGGGGCCCTGGGGAAGCGACTGCCAGTGGCTCAGAGTCTATTAACCCCTTGGGGAAGTGGATACCTCTACACCCACCTGCGGGGACACAGGAATGTGTCAGAGGTGCAGCCCCAAATTCCTCCCCAGCGACAGGGCACCACCTAGTTCTTGGATCATGTCAGCTCTTGGCTAACTCCTCCAACACTAATGGCTGGCTGCACCGGGCTCTTAAAGCAAATGGGTGTTTCTGAGCTGTCACACTGAGAGTCCAGGCATACCAGGAAGGAAAACTTAAGAGGATAGTGGACACAGACCAGACTAAGCAACTGTCCCTCAGGGACCAGCACAAGTCCCCAGCGGGCAGAGCTGTTTGGACTGGCTGGCCCAGCAAACTACAGTAGGGGTCAAAGGACCCGAGGGCTACTGCCCTCTGTCACCCTTCCCCGTCAGTCATCAAACCCCCAACCCCCGCCCCAGGACACTTACCTTCTTCCGGGGCTGCCATTTCATCATATTTGTAGAGCCGATACGTGGAACATCAAGATGCTGGATGGGGCTTGGGGGCAGATGCAGGGCAGCGTCGACTCCAAGTCATGCTGCCTTCCCCCCACCCCCTAATTCTTTCCCATATTCACTGCGAAGGAAAAAAGGCCAAGAGAGAGTCCAGTCTTTAGCCTTCAGTTCAATGAAAAGTATTCCCAAACCGCGAAAACACTCCCCACCGGGCTAGGAAGTCCCAGCAGCAACCAGCATACTCCTGCCAGAGCCAGGCATTTTCTCTCCTGGCCAGCGCCTGCAAAAGGAGCCTGCCTGAGACAGGGGGTCTCCACGCCGCCGCTGCAGAGACCCTCCCTCAGAGAAGAGACTGTGAACAGGAGCTGCTGCAGAAACCCAGCCGGGCTCCTGCCATCCAAATCCCTTTTGGCGAATTCGCCTCTTCTCAAAAAAAAAAAAAAAAAAAAGATTAGACAAGCAATCAAACCCTCACGCACAGCCTGGAGCAATTCCCAAAATTCTGGGTGTATTTCTCGTTTGTAAAATTTAGCAAAGAAAATTCCAAGATCTGTAATCAGAGCTTCTTTATGCTGTTTTCTCTTCTTTCTTGGATAACTTGGGGAAAGAATCAGCCCTTCCCGAAATGCCTACCTTCCCTGAACACGTAAATAGGAAAACTTGGTTTGTGTGTTTAGATTTTTTTTTTTTTAATTCCCAGGAACCTTAGTGGGGAAAGGCTGGAGGAAATCCTGCAAGAACCCAACTCTACAGCTCAGTCTGCACTAATGACTTCCTTCCCTTCAGTGCAAGCACAGCCAGCCCAGCTTCAGCCACACAGAGCAAACGGTTTCTGGGTCTTAGTGCCACGACATCTGCTCCAAAGCAAAAAGTAAAGCATACAGTTTCAGGACATGGGGAATCAGAGTCAGAAGAGATGTTTTCAAAAGTGTACACAGATTTGTGAATTTTATCAAGAGGAAAAAAAAGGGGGGGGGCAGAGGGAAAGAACTCTAGACCAAAGTGCTACAAAATCTTAATGTCTAATTTGAAAAATATATATATTTGAGGTATCTGACAAGACTTTAAAAATAAAGAATAGATTCTGCTTCTGTAATTTAACACTGAATTTATCACTGTAAAGATATTGTTATAGAGATTGAGCTTCATTTAGCTTCTGTAAAATGACTATCTTTTTTAAGGCGATACATCTCCCCCCAAAACAAAAAAATACTATGTAATTCTATATAGTCATCCAATGTGTCTAACAACTCATTCCTACCATGAGGCTATTTTGATTGCTGGGAATATAATAGGTAGTGTAAGCCACTAGAATACTAATTGATGTACATAATAGTAACTGATATACTATGAGTCTGATGTTCCAATAGTGTTTAACTTATTATTCTCAAAGTTCCATATTCAGTTTCAGGGCTGGCTAATGTGCATGATTATAAGCAGATTGGTCACTAACTATAGTGGATTATAAATGTCATTAAAATACTCAAAACAGTTAACTATAACAAATTACTTTCGAGACTTTTTCTTAGGCTAAGAGTCAGAAATTCAATGGTGAAAGTATTATCTTTTTAATAATGATGATAGTAATAAGTACAGCTAAATGAAGAGGTATTACTCTGTGTCAGGACCTAGGCCTCAATCATTATCTCACGGCCATGCAAGGAAGGTCTTAATGTTTCATTTTCCAAATGATGACATTGAGATTCAGAGGGATCATTTGTTCAACCAAAACCACAATGCATCAAAGGTGGTAGGTCTGGAATTCAGCTGACTCTAGAACCTATTCCCTTTCCATTATATGCATCAAAGCTACATGCCAACCTTTAACTCTCATCTCAATAAAACTATTAAGTGCATATAACTTAAGACAGTCCCTGTTCCAGGCACTAAATAGGAAACTGTCCTTTGACTAAGAGGGTGGCCCCATTCTTGAAATTACATGCACAATCACAAATAATACCATTACTCTGTATATGTTCTAACATATCCAAATCATTGGAATGGGTGTAGTTGTACCTACTTCCCTAAGGGGTTAACAGACTCTGACTGCTGGCAGTATGGAAATTTCAATAAATTCCCAGCCAAATTCATTAATCTACCCCCAAATCAGTTTCTCTTCCCAATTTCTTTCGTGCATAGCACTGCTATTCATCCAAGATCACAAACTAAAACCTTGACATTCCTTCTATCTATTCTATCACCAAATCCTTTCACCTCTTCTTGGACATCACTTTCAAATTTCTAGTGCTGACAGAGACTAGAGCTTCACAAAATCAACATATCTTAAGTACCAAGTAGGTGTAAAGCTTCACATAGGATTAAAAAGTATAAGATTTAATCCCTATGTTAGAGGAAGTTGGAAAGAAGTTAGAACAGATCAGAAAACCAGTAAAAAGACAGTCAGGCATTGCATTAGTCAGTTAAGCAACAAATGAATTATATAGCCAAATGAGGATAGTAAAGGAAGGTTTCATAAAGGAATCTGAAGTACTAATCCAAAGGAGATATAATTCATTTCAGAGCCAAAAATTAAGAAGCTTATTACAGCCAGTAATGCCCTTCAGGATCTGAGCCCCTCTACCTTTCAGAGCTCATCTTTCCCCCCCACTTCTGCTTCATTTCTCAGCCAGACAAACCGCCACCTCACTGTCCCCTGAACATTTCAAACATATACTTGTTGCACCCTCTGCCTGAATCACTCCTCCTCAGGTACCCTCCTCACTCCCTCCATCATTTCCCTCATTTTGGACCATCCCATCCAAAATAACAGCATCATGACATATGCTGTTACTATCTTCTTTACCCTACTATATTTTACTTCACAGTCCTTAAGATATGTATTTTTTGTGTTTTTTTAATGTCTAATTTACCCCACAAGAACACACATTACAAGGAAGTAGGGACTTCATTATAAGAGCAATCCTAGAGAACAATGCAACCCAATAAGCAATCAATAAATATTTGTTGAATGAAACAATGAAAGAAAGAGGAAAAAGAAAAATAACGTGAGATAGTATTCAAGATACAAAATATTGACCTGCCTAAAACTATAAGGCTTTGAAGGCAGAGATTTTGTCTTGTTCATCTTTATTCTCCTCAGTACCCAGAATAATGTCTGGCACTGCAGAGATGCTCAGTATTTATGGGATTAAAAAATGAATGGGTGTAGGAAGGGTGAGTGGTAAATGAGCAAAATTCCATCCCATTCCATTCTATTCAGAGTAAAAGAAAGTTTGGCAAGGTGTGTTGGAACTAAATAGTGGGGAACAATGAATGTAAGGCAAAAAATTGGACTTCATATTACAGAATGCAGGACACTGAGATAGTAACAGTAGGCAAAAGGCATAGTGGAAATAGCATTTTTAAGCAATTGAATATTTACCAAAATATTAATTATGATTTTAAGCTATTTTTTATGTAAGGCTTCAGACCTTTTAAAAAATATGTACATGATTAAAATGATCATTTGATAGTATCAAAACTGAAATTAAGAGGGGTTAGTGACCGATTCAATGATGTAAAGTAAGTCAATGGCAATGGAAGGGCTAGAACTCAGGGCTTGTAAACCAAGGACTGATACATGCAAAAACACTCATCACCACTTATAAGAGATAAGAAAATCAAAAATACCATAAGATCCTACCTCACACCCATGAAAATGGCCCATATCAAAAGGACCAGAAATAACAATTACTAGCAAGGATGTGGAGAATAAGAAACCCTCATATACTGTTGGTAGGAATGTAAATTGGTCTATTCCCTATGGAAAACAGTATGGCAGTTTCTCAAAATATTAAAAATAGCTGTACCACATGGCCCAGCAATTCTACCCCTAGATATCTACCCAAAGAATACAAAAACACTAATTTGAAGGGATGCATGTACTCCTATGTTCACTGCACACTACAACAGGTAAATTATGGAAATAGTCTAAGTACTCAAGGACAGAGGAATAGATCAACAAAATTTACACACACACACTCATACATACACACACACACACACTGGAATACTACTCAGCTATAAAAAGGATAAACTCCTGACATTTCTAAGAACAGGGATGGAAGTGGAGCAGATAATGTTAACTGAAATAAGTCAGGAAAAAGACAAACACCAGATGGTCTCACTTACATGTAGAATATAGAGAAATATAACAAAGAATCAGTCAAAACCAAACCAATAATAAACATCTGACTGAAAAACTGAGCAACCAGAGAGGGAGTGTGGTGGGGTGGGAGTCGGGTAGGGAAGGGGCCCAATGGAACATGATGGAGAATGTTGGGGCACTGGTGGTGGATGGGGTGTGAAAGTATATATGTGTAGAGTTTTTGAAGAATGACCCCCAGAGTAGATACAAAGATATAAACTTACTTTACCTCAATAAACATAATTTGGGGGAAATATACTACTGCCTGAGTATGGCAGATTGGAACCTACAAAATTGCTTAGGGGTCAAGAGAAAAATTTCTACTTTTACTCTTCCTTATATAACAAAAATTTTCAGAAGCACAAGGTAGATGACATGAGGGAATGACAGAGTCACACGTAAAACAAAAGAGAAATGTGAGGTTATAAACCTGAAGATAGAGGAATTGTGCAAAGGAGGTAGCTGATACATAATTCTAGTCAATTGATGTCACACAGGAATATCTCTCCAACAGTACTAGATCCTCTAACTTTTCATGAGAATTTAGAAACTTCCTGATTTGCTAAAATTTTTTAGCAAACTTCCTGTTTGCTAAAAATTTTTAAAGCATCCTAATAAGCCAAACATAACATGCCTGTAAATCAAAATTCCATCCACATAATTTGTCATAATTTGTGACTGCTAACTTTAAGCCACTCAAGGCTTTACTTTCCCATGTGTAAATTAACGGACATACGTAGTAACTCATCGATGGGGTAGTTTTCTGAAGGCATCTATGATGTGTAACATGTGTAACACACATGGTGTGTGGACTGAAGAACAATCTCCCATGCTCAGATGTTGTTGGACTTAATAAAAGACAAAATTACCTAAATTGGAGGAGAGGGGATCTGAAAACAGTGGGCTGCATCAGAAAAGGAGACAAAGAAAATATGTTTCTATAGAAAGAATCCATTTAATCTTCAAAGGAATACAAGCCTTTAAATTGGTTTTCAGCTTTTTAAGTGTATTTCCTTTGGATCACTTACTTGTAATTTGTTTGCCATTTCTTCTCCTGCTATTTGTGAATATTTCAGTTTTCATTTAATAAGTACCACACAACAAGAGGACATTACCTAGAAGCCTTTATATACCAATATTATCTTAAATCACCTTACTTCTAGTCTTTACTCTGCTTAATCCAAATAGAATCAGTAATTATACCTGAAATATTTATAGATTTTCTATTACACCAATATACTTTCTCCATTAGCAATTATTTATATAGACCAAGGTAACATAATTCAAAATGTTGTGATTTGGTTTATTGTTTCAAAGATCCAATAGCAAACAGTAACAATTTCTCAGCGTGCAGCTACTGAAAGGCATTTTACCAACTCCTTCATTTTTTAACATAGCACTTTGCAAATCACTTTCCTTAAAGTAGATACTATAAAACAATCTATTAAAACAGTATTTCCCTCAATGACTACTTGTCAATTCAAATCTAAACAAAAGCAAGAAAGAGGAAATGAAGAAAACACACCTTTTTCACTACTGTGAATTTCTTCAAGAATTCCTAAGGGGTGATATGTCTGACATTGATCATAGGGTAAATGCCTGAAAAGGCTAGTATCATACTTATTCACATTTATTGTGTTTTATAAGTAGAACAGTAAACTCAATGTGAAACAGCATTTGGAAAATATATTGATTTTCCCAAAGACCTCTAAACTATTTGCAAGTATCTAAAACAAAAATAACTTGTCTCAGTAAGAGTTCTGCCACACAGTCAAGTTGACACGGGCTCATGTGTCCACTCCCCGGGAAGGAAACTGCTCTACAACATCCAGAGAGAATCACCACTGACCTTACACACCTTCCACAATAGGCAGAGTCAGAGGGGCTCAAGCCTCCCTTTAAATTCAACACATTGACTGAATACCCACTTACAAAGGAGTGTACTAGGCCCTATCGAGGAGACAAAAAATAAATCAAGTGGTCTTTGTTCTTGAGGTGATGGCGGTGTGATACAGGTTTAAGAAGACAGGTGCACAGCTAGTAAAATAACAACAGTAGAGAACAGGGATCTTTGCGTCAACCGAGACTCCTTGGAACTGAGAAAGGGTTGCCCCCACAGCCAGAGGTGAGCTGAAGAGCCCCCACAAGCCAGGCCCCATTTGGCAGGGAGCTGGAGCCCAGAGGGGGATCCAGCAATTTGGAGCCCAGCCAGCGATCCAGCCACACCACCTCCAGGGCAGTCTGTGGGACCTCAAGACATAACATTGGAATTAAACAAATATAGAAGGAAAAGATATTCTGTGACAGCGAACATTAACATATTCATAGTACCACTGCCCTACTGGACTTCTGGCAAAACAGTATTTGATTCAATTGGACCAACCAGTTTCTGACATCCCAGAAAGAGCACACTGAAAAGATGCCAGCCAGTACCAGCGACAAAGTGTCCTAACGCATAGGACAAATTAGAAAACAAGCAGCAGGGAGAAGAAAAACTACAAGCAACCAAGCAAGTCCTCAGGGAAAAGACAACCACAAAAAGAAAATCACCCACCAGAGTGCAACAACAGTGACTTGGAAGAACTTCTGAGCCTTCCAGTAAGAGAATTTAAAATTGCCATGATTGGGCCTCCCCAGTGGCGCAGCAGTTGAGCGCTGGGCTGCAAAGCTGCCTGCAGCCTCTGCAGCGCCAGTTCGATCCCCGGCCACCAGCAAGGGTCTCACATGGTGCAACAGACCTCTCCTGTCTCACCCGCTGCTCCCCTCAGCAGTGTATTTCATCAGTCTGTCTGTTCTGTTCCCCACTCTGGTGCATTCTCTCACCCTCCCACACTTCTGACTGTACCCAGTGCTTGCATAAATAAATAATAAATAAATCTTAAAAAAGAAAAAGTGCTCAAAAAAAAATTTCAATGACATTCTTCAAAGAAATAGAACAAATATTGATGAAATTCATATGGAGCCACCAAAAACCACAAACAGCCAAAGCACTCCTGGGAAAAAAAAAGAAGGGAATGAAGGCATCACACTCCCAGACTTTGAACTATACTACAAAGCCATAATCATCAAAACTGCATGGTATTGGAACAAGAACAGACACATGGATCGATGGAACCTAATAGAAAACCCAGAAATCAACCCACAGATTTACAGTCAACTAATCTTTGACCAAGGAGCAAAGAATATGCCATGGAACAAATAAAGTTCGTTCAATAAATGGGACTGGGAAAACTGGGTCACTACATGCAAAAGAATGAAGTTTGACTACTACCTCACACCATGCACAAAAACCAACTCATAATGGATTAAAGAACTAGACGTAAGACCTGAAACCATAAAATATATAAGGAAATATAGGCAAAACACTACATGACATACACCTCAGTAACATCTTTAAAGACTCATCACCCAAAGCAGTGATAGTGAAGGCAAAGATAAACAGCTGGGACTACATCAAATTAAAGAGCTTCTGTACAGCAAGAGACACTAACAAAAACAAACAGACACCCCACCGATTGGGAGAAAATTTTCGCATACAACACTAATGACAAAGGACTGATCACAAAAATCTACAAAGAGCTGAAGAGTCTCAACAAAACAAAGTAAATAATCCAGTTAAAGAATGGGCAGAAGTGGGCCTCCCCTGGTGGCACAGGCGGTTGAGCAACGCGCTGTGAAGCTGTCCACAGCCTCTGCAGTGCTGGTTCAATGCCAGCCGGCCAGCAAGGGTCCCACATGGTCCAGCAGACCTCTCCTGCCTCATCCGCTGCTCCCCTCAGCAGTGTATTTTGTCAGTCTGCCTGTTCTCTCTGGTGAATCCTCTCACCCTCCCGTGCATCTGGCCTGTACCCCAGTTCTCATATAAATAAAAAAAATCTTT